CCCACCCAAGTACAGCCACAAGCAGCACCGAGCCAAGCAGGCAGGGAGATCGATAAGCGCTCACACTCCTAACCTCTCTTCTCGCCTCACCCCCCGCCCTTTTCCATTGTTGCCACACACGCCTGTATGCTCAGAGGTCATGAATATTAAACGAGCATCGATCCCCCTCCCCTCCGCTGTGAGTGAGCGCGGAGACAGGAAAAGCCTGAGAGATCAAGCCCCTGTGAATGGCAGGGTTGACGACTCACGGCTCACGACGGCGAAGAAAACAGGGAGCAGCTCTGCGACACGGCGACAGGCAAAGAAGGAACTTTGCTCTGGAAACAACAGAAGAGCTCACCACCACCACCGCCACCATCACCATCACCATCACCAGCGTCACCACCACCACCACCACCACAAGCGTCACCACCAACGGCTTGGATATATTTCCCTCGCTACAACAACAAGAAGACGACGAAGAAGAAGTTTGAAGCTACTTTTTTTCTTCGTCTTATATACTTAGAGAATCCACTTCATTCGGTTCCCAGTGTTATTTCTTGCTACAACAACAACAACAACAGGTGAAATTTAGGGTCGCTAAGAAAGACGGAAGTCATCCATATCTACCACTACAGCCATCTAGTGTGTGAGGCTTCTATGTTGTTCCAACGCTGTGATTTTATCCCAGTGCTTTTGCTTCCTACTTTTCTTAACTTATCTGGAAAGAAAAAAAAAGAAAAACGCTTACCGTCAATTTTATTACTAAAAACCAGGGTTACCCATGACAGTAAGACCAACGTTATCTCGCATTAGAACTTTCTTCGCATTTTTTTCCTGTACAATAATATTCAGTAAGTACTTTTTGTGTCTTATCAAATTTTTTTCCTAAAATATATTTGGTTTTTTATTGTTTTGTTTTGCTTTTTGAAAAAAACTTTTCCGCGCCGTTACCACCTTCAATAGGATGTAATTCAAAGCTAATCAGTATCGCCGGCGAATAGAGTATCATTATCCTCGATTATCTTTCCGTCGTATCGATAACAGATTTCCCGAAGGTTGAAGCAGTTCACCGGCGTGTGTGAACAACTCCTTTATTCACGTGTTCACAGCAGGAAAATACAACCAGCTGTCAGAATTGTTCACACTATGTCCTAGGCTGATGTCTCACTTTCTGCTGTAGCCTTTACAACTTTTATAGACAACAGTGCACTGTAGTTCACTGCTCGGTTAAAAGCTAAGTGCAACTTGCTTAAACCAGTTTCCACACGCCAAAGGTTTTCGATTTCTAACACTCTCAAATATAATATCAGACCAGTCATGTTCAGCCCATTTCAGTGATAAATACAATGTTTGTATGTGTGGTTTCCCAGTTACAATATCTATCTGTCTATCTATCTATCTATCTATCTATCTATCTATCTATCTATCTATCTATCTATCT